AAAAAATGTTCTTAGAGGGCACTTATTTACAGTATAAAACGTATTTTAGGATTTTTTTCATTAAATTCCTCTTTAAACTTCATTAAATAATACAATTTTGTACAAATAATTGAATGTTTTGCTACTGTTTACAAAAATAAAATCTGAAATCCAATAAAAGATAGTTCTCTATAATTTTTTCAATTTGCAAATGTGATTTTGCCCTCACAAACTTGGTAGGTAACGGGTTAAAGTGACCAAAATCATGAGCAAATGCAACATGTCCCCACCACGCAATTCCAGGTTTGACACCATAAAAATCGTGAAAAACACAGAAAAATAAAAAAAATTTTATATCACTGCTTTGGATCTGCAAGAAGGTGGTAGCATTGTACTAAATCTCATGTACGTTGGTTTAAATATACATGAATTAGTTCAATTAACTCCAAGTTGTGCTTTCCTCACTGAAAAATTGAGCAAAAGACAAAAATTTCAAAATTGTCCGTATCAAGGTACCAAATCTCATGTAAATTGGCCAAAGTATGGCAGTAATTGTCAAAAAAAACTAAAATTATGCTTTTTGTGGCATCTTGACTTCCACTATAACTGCTAAAAATTTCCAACACATTTCTTTGCCAATATGTGTTGCTTATAGAAAAATAGCTTTGTATTAAATTCCATATAAATTGTTCAAAAAAGGCTAAGCAATTGACAAAAACCTCTAAAGTTATGGGTTTATTTAAGCTTTTGACACCTCCCCCCCCCCCCAAAAAAATGGGATCAAATGGCCAAATCTAACTTTTTTGTATGTCAGTGTGTTGGGTGCAGGAAAATTTTTGTTTGTGCAAATTTTCATTTTGATTGCTGTAAATATGTTTGCACAGGGGTTATTTGACCTTTGACCTATTGTAAACAAGCATTTGCAACAACAACAGATTTTTCTTTTGTTGTACCTACTGTAAACTTTTGAGGCCATTTTTGCCACCCACATTATCTAAGGATCTGTTTTCTCATCATTCTTTCTTTTTTCACAACTTTGACATCAAGGGTTTTATCTCTTCTTGTGATGGTCCTTTGGAATTTAACTATTGACATGTTTCTTGTGTGGGTTGTGCTTGCTTGATCATGTTTCTAGATTTTTTCAGTTGTCGTCAATCTCATTTTTCTTTCACGAAATAGAGTTGAAATTTTTCATCATCAGATTTCTTTGAGGGTTTTGACTTGACATTTGGCTGCTTGCAGTGTAGTTCTGGATGAGTTTCTGGTCTGAAACTAAGTCTTTAATAAGTCTTTTTATCAAGTGTTCTAAGGATGTATTGTTAAGGAGTAGCTTGTGAGTTATGTAATTTGATACAGTAATGTGAGCTACACGTTCACTGAGTGGTTTACAACTTGTGTGGCAGGATTATTAGTTAGACATGGTTCAAAGGGCAAAGACAAACAAGTTTTAAATACAAACAGATGTATACTGTTATGAGCTTAAAGCTATTTAGGATAAACAACTGTAGTTTCCTGTTACAGTTTGCAGTAACATAGAAATTTTTAGTAAAAATACTTCATTAAAAAATTCTAATTTTTTGTATATGAAAGACTTGTAATGTTTACTGAAAGCTTACAAAATTATGTGAAGATACAGAAAACATTAAAAGTTATAGTATGAAAACTCTAAAGGTCAATTTGGGCTCGTGAACTTGGTCAAATCAACCAAACCCATAGCAAGAGAGTTAACCCAGCACTGTAACCAAGCATACAAGTTTTAACACTTCATTTAACTACCTCCTTCCCTAAGAAGGTATTTACTGTGATCATGTTTTATATTCACTATTGTAGATTGAATTTTGATAAACAGAAGCCAAAAATATTTCATTATGTTAATCACATATTTAACAGAGGCTATAATAGCATCCCGAGTAGCTAAACACTTCTTATCTCCAAACTTTGATCTTATAGACATTTAAGATGGATGACATTTTTATTGTTAAAATACTTAAAGAGGACTAAGGTCATTTCTTGTTATCTTACTAAGTGTATTTACACACTTGTTTGTGAATGTAGTGCATAAATGTGAGTAAGGTAGATTACGTCAGTGTTTTGTGGGCTACACAATGGGCTATCTGTGCTCTGTTCACCATGGGGAATTGAACCGCAGATTTTAGCATTGTTAAATCCAACAACTTATTGCTAACGGACTAGTGGGAGTTCATGGATTGAAATTTTGTTAATTAACATTTGTGGTTAAAAGTGTCACTTATTTTTACTCACAGGTAGGTGTCCAACAGATTTGTAAAATAGACTGTAGGTCAGAAACAAAATATTCTGTGTGAAGTATGCTAAAGCAGCAAAGCAAAAGCGTGAAATGACTTACATATATATATTTAAATTGTGTTCAGGGAAATAAAATTGTATGTAAACATTATCAGCTGTTAAAATGAAGTCATAATTATGTGTGATTTTAATTTCAGGCATATAGATTGGGAAATTATAGAGTCAAACCATGAGGGAGAAAGGTTTTTGGAAACTGTTCAAGATAGCTTTCTTCACCAATTAGTCAAGGAACCTACTAGAAACAATGTTATTTTAGATTTATTGTTAACTTCAAATATAGAAATGATCGAGAGGGTGGAAATTGGGGAACATCTGGGTTTATTAGGTTCAATGTTTTGCTGCATATAGAGATAAGGAATAATGGTATTTTTGTTACAAATTTCAAATAAGCACATTTTGAAGGAATTTGACAAGAATTATCTGTTTTGAATTGAGTAGCTGAGTTATTTTGAGACACTGATCAGATGTAGAAAATTTTTAAAGATAAGTTTTTAAATATTCAAAGTAAACATATTCATCATAGAAAGAAAATTGTAGCTGCAAGTAAAAAACCAGGTTGGCTCACAAAGAGTATAAGAGATAGAATTAAAGAAAGGCGTCACAAATTTAAGAAAGTTAAATTGACTGGTATGACAGGAGATTTAGAAGATTATAGAAGATCAAGAAAGTTGGTGAAACATGAAATTAGGACATTAAAAAAGGATCTGTGAGAAAAGGTTGGCTGAAAATTTAAAAATTAACAGTAAGGATTTCTTTAAATGCATTAAGGGTAAACCAAATGTTAGGATGGGGGTAGGACCCTTAATGGATGATAAAGGAAGGCTCATATCTGATGATTATGAGATGGCTGGATTATTAAATTTTGCTTTCTATTCGGTTTTTACTAATGAAGATTTAAGCAGTATTCCACATCTTGAACAGTTGATAGATTGAAACAAGATCGAACAAGATGACTGCATTAATTCTGAGCTGTTTGAGAAAAAATTGGGAAGTTTAAAGAATGATAAAGCCCCTGGGTCAGATAGTATTTCCCCAAGGGTTTTGAAGGAGGTTCGAGATTGGATATGTGAGCTACTTGCTACTATTTTTTGTCAGTGGGCAGGTACTATAGAATTGGAAGTTGGCTAATGTTACTCCTCTTTTCAAGGGAGGAGATAAAAATTGTCCCTGTAATTATAGACCCATTAGTCTTACATCAGTTGTGGGAAACGTTTTGGATAGTCTGATAAAAGATGCTTTGCAAAGTCATTTAACTAAGTTTAGAATTTTATTGGATAATCAACATGGTTTCACTCACGAAAAATCTTGCCTTACAAATCTTTTGACATTCTTTTAAAAGGTTACTGTTTATGTATATTACAGTAAGGTTGTAGATTTGATATATTTGGATTTTCAGAAAGCATTTAACAAGGTGCCACATAAAAGGTTTGTACAAAATTATATATGTAGATGTGTGGGATAAGTTAGCTAATTAGATAAAAGAGTGGCTGGATGGAAGAAAGCAAAGGGTTATTACAAATGGAGTTTAGTCAAACTGGATTAATGTCACAAGTAGGGTAGCTCAGGGCTCAGTCTTATAACCTTTGCTTTGTTTTATTTATATCAATGACATAGATGAAAGAATGATCAATAAATTACTTACATTTGCTAATGATATTAAGGTCTTGGGTGTTTCTAGCAGTCAAGAGAATGCTGCTGATTTACAAAAGGATTTAGATCATTTAATGAGTTTGAGAAATAAATGGCAAATGGGTTTTAAATATAATAAATGCAAGATTATGCATGTGAGTTATCATAATTTGAATTATAAGTATAATTTGGATGGGAATAACCTTAACAGTATATGAAAGAAAGGGATCTTGGCTTAGTAGTTGATCAGTCTCTAAATCCATCCAAGCAGTGTGCTGTTGCTAGTGATAGGGTAAATAGGATTTTGGGTTGTATGTACAGAAATATTGAATACAAGTCTAAAGAGGTTATAATTACATTGTTTAGGTCACTGATTTGGCCACATTTTGAATATTGTGTTCAGTCTTGGGCTCTTTATCTTAGGAAAGACATTGAATTGTTGGAAATGCTTCACAGAAGGGTTACTAGAATGGTGCCTGGGATGGAGGTGTTGTCATAATAGGAGAGGTTGAAGTCTCTCAAGTTGTTTTTTCTTGAAAAAAGAAGAGTTGGGGGGGGGATCTGATTGAGGTGTTTAAAATTGTTAAGGGTATTGATAGTGTTGATGCATCATCTTTTTTTCATACTTATCAGTGAGAATAGTAGGACTAGGGAACACAAATTAAATTTTTCCAGGGTACCAGTCATCTTCAGTTAGACAGTTTTATTTTTCTAACAGGGTGGTTGGCCTTTGTAATGGATTGCCTTTGGATGTTGAAGAGGCAGTAAATTTAAGTGAGTTTAAGAGAAAACTTGATAAGTATATGAATGATAAGGGCTGGCTTTAAGATTTAAAAAAAAATTAAATTATTAAGAGTTTTAGTATAGTTTAGAGGGTGGAACAGTTATGTTGTTCCAAAATGTTATGTTATTAAAATTATCAGATATGTTATAGATATAGATAGCTTATACATTAAAAGCTTAAAATTTTGTATAAAATATAAAATTCCTTTCATGACAGTACTTAATACACCCTGTGGTGCAATATAAAATTTAGTTTGAACACCAACCCTAAAATAATTTTAGTGAATCAGTAAAAACTTAGTAATGAATAATATTTTAAATGTTTTAGTTGCAGGGGCCTTTAGCCTGTGAAAAACATAAATATTTCAAATTTGCATCCAGCATCTATTTGAATTTAATTTTAATTCTACAAATGTAAGGAGTAAAAACTCTTGGACATTCTTTTACTTCTATTCAGGTGGTGTTTTCTTAGCAACAGGAAGTACAGACCATCATGTTCGGGTGTATAACATTCTTGGAAATGGTGATCCTGAGAAAATTATGGAATTAGAAGGCCATTCAGTGAGTGGGAATATATAAAAATCTTGATTAATTTATTCTTTAAAGTTTATAAAATCAAAACTTACAATTGAACTTGTACTTGTATTTCATATCTGTAAGGATTAAAGCCAAAGTAGCAAGTACCACTATACCTTAAATTCTTTTGACTTTATTTCAGAATATTTTATTTTGCACTGTATATACCAAATGTTTTATAGTAGGAAGTGTGAACAATGATTTTTATAATTTACCTAATTCATTGTTTAATGACTGGAACTAGAATTGAATGGCTAGATGAGAAAGGTTTATATTATAACAAGAAATATACTTATTGGTTTCTAAATTATTGTGAGTGTGTAACAGACCTAGAAATTAGAGTTGATATGTTTTTGCTAAATGTATATAAACTTTTAGTATTTTATTGTTTCACCAATATTTGTTCAAACAAAAACTGAACATAACAAGCTTGTATAAAACCATGAAGTATTTTAAAAAAATGTGATTTATTGCAGAGAAGTATGCTAAAATGAGAATGATAGAAGGAAGAATATTTTCAAAATTGTGTATCAATTTTAGTTTTTTAATCAGTTCTCTTAACTGGAAGTCCTTATTTTGTACAGGTTGGAATTAGTTTTGTTAACCGTAAGTTTACATGAACCACTATTCATACAAAAGTTGGGAATTCAGTCTTATTATGATATTTTAGTTCATGTACAATGTAGTTAAAGATAAGAAAACTACCATTAAAAACTTTATGGATAGTATTTATTGTGTTAAGTTTATACAAATGTAGACATAGCCCAACAGAACTAACAGGTGGTAGTTGAATATGGGATCTTATGCAAAGTGACTGAAAACTTCCACCACAGATCCTTGCCCAGAAGAGAATAAATTCTACTAAGAAGGATCTTCAGCCACCTCTTAAGGGCAGTGAGTGGCAAGTTATCAGATTATCTGTGGTTACAAGATTTGAATAACCTGTAGTCAGTGCCACAAGAAGACTCAATGTGAGCTATATAACAAGAAGTATGGACTAGAAATAGAAGCCTCTCCAAAATGTGAGCAAATTTGGGTTAAAGATTGTGTAAAAGAACAGTCTTGTTATAAAAACAGCTTATACCTAATATCAGTCACATAAAACATAAACCTTCAAATGGGAATCAGCTAATGCCAAGATGAATAGAAAATAAGTTTTTTTAGGAAAGCTCAAATACAAGACTAGTAGGAAAATTTCCAAAAGGATGAATGGTCAGAGTATTAAGAGTATAGCTTTATTTAGTCTTGGAAGCATCTTTGAACATTAGGGTTTTGGAGACAAAGAAAAACAAAAAGGATCATGAAAAGTGGAAAATATATGAATGAGAGTTTAAAAAATGAAAAGTAGAAGAGAAAGTGACCCAGTTGTTTTTATCTTTTTTAAATATGATTATATGTTGTTTGAATAACATAAACCAAAAAAAATAATTTATTCATGAGAGTATTTTGCACTTGCCTGCCATTCTTGCCATGTCATCAAAAGGTAAACTTAACTGACCTTATTTGGTAAACATAAAAAAAACAAAAAAAAAACATGATTACAAGCATTACAACTCAATAAAACTATATTATGTCTATCAAAAAGTAAAAGCACCATTATTTTAGACAAAGAAACAGACATCAACAAGATACCTTTATTATACCTTAATTAATCTTTAGTCAATTTTCAGCTACTTATTCTTGATGATCATAAAACCTTCTTCAAACATTGTGTATTTATTATTGTGTTAAACTTGTAATATACTTTTCTTTGTTACCCATACAACACATCAATAAAATGCATAAGCTCACCTTATCCCAAGTTATCTGACCTCTTCTCATTGAAGAAACTCTCTGTAGCTTTTAAACACACAAAGACTTTCATATTTTGCAAAATGAAAGGAACTGAAAGGGCAAAAACTACAATTCTGAAAATGATCTTTCCTCCAAAGCTATCTGGATCCTAGTCTGCCCTCTAAGCATTGCTAACAATGCACCAGTCTTTTATACCCCATCAGTTTCAAACCATTTCAGAATATTTGTTTCCAAATGAAAACAGGAAAAAGACTCCTTCTTAAGTTCAGAAAAGAATGTCAAATCATGCTAAAAGGGAAACCTTCAGAACATTTTAAGGATCATATCTATGAGGTTTTTAGTCCGTTTTACTTCACTTAAATTAATTCAGGTATGTGAATAATATTATGACATTTCATCTAATTCATTATTCAATATTATACAGTGGACCAACTGTTTAATGATTGTATATATATAAAGGTTTCTTTTAAATAAATAAATAAATGAGTAAAGTTATTCAAATGAGGAAAGGACACCTTCATGTAGTTTCAGTGCTCAGAAAGTTCATGAACTTCCAATGAAGAAAAAGCCCACTGCTGGTTTAAAACTGCTGATATTTATTTACGAGAATAAGAATGTGTCCACAGTTCAGAAATCTCCTGAAATGATTGCTGAACAGCAAGTGAATAAATACATGGCCACTCACTCTCTACATTTACAAGGCGACCCATTAAGCTTCTGGGCAGATAATGCCCATTTGTACCCACAAGTTTGCAGACTTGCAGTTACATATCTGGCAATTCCAACAATCAGCACCCCTAAAGAAAGATAGTATCACTTAACAGTAAATCTATAGGTTTAATTTTTGTTGACATTTTCTTACACTGAAAATGTATTTCTAATAGGTGCTTGTCTCCTCTAACCCAAAGCTATCCAATCCTGAATTGCCCTCTAACCATTGCTAAAGGTTTTTGCTAACAGCGCACCAGTCTTTTATACCTCATCAGTTTCGTGCCATTTCAGAATGTATTGATCATGTGACAACCCTCCACCAATCACACTGTGCCATATATACTGGCACAGCTAGCTCCCTCTACTGCTCAAGAACATTCCTCACCTTCTTTATTGGCATTCTAGTGTGTAGATGTGTGTTTTAACTCGCTCTCCATGTGATTACAAAATTTTGATTGTGCTTGATCACAAACTTATATCAGTTTAAACTTCAAGTTTTGACTTCTTGAGTTTGATTTCCATTGTTTCTTCTCATTTGTTTTAGAAATATTTCTTTTTTATGAATTCTAATTTGTTCATATGAAATTGAGATTTAATATGGTAGATGATGAAATTCCCATGATAGTCAACAGTGGTCTTCATGAAACCCCAGGTCTCAGGGTCAATGATGTCTGTTGAGGAAGTGCAGGCTGTAGTTCGCAGAAGTTCATATCTAACATTCGGCCGATGATTTCTTCCTTTCACATTGCAATTTTTTGTGAGGCAGAATATAACTACTGAGTGGAAATTTTTTTTCTACTGCGCCTTCCATCTGTTACTGTGCCTCCATGTAATTTCCTGAGCTAGCTATTGTTCTTTTCCCCAGGATATCTGTGGTAAGTTTTTCAACATGTATTCCTCCTTCACAGTAGGTATACCCATGTTTAGTGAGCTTGTGTGGATTGACCTAATTTTCTCTCATGATAATTTAGGTATTTCATGTCTTCTCTGCTCAGTATCTGGGAAGATAGATTTTTATAATTATTTTACCATCTAAGTTACTTTAGTTGAAATTTGCATTTAGAGTATTATTATTATTTTGTTTTTTGTTTAACTTTCAGTATTTGTACAGGTTTTGCATGATAGTTACTGTTTGGATAATTGTAATTTTGGCCAGTTTTAGTGAATATGTTGGTTCATTATTTATATTAGGTTGTCAAGAAACTAATGTTGCTTTTTTTAGATGAAAAAATCTAAACAATTTATATATCAAAACAAAACATTTATTATTTGAAATAGTCTTTATTCTTATTGATGATGCTTTTCCATCTTACACTCAAGTTGTTAATGCCCTGATTAAATAAATCACTTGGCTTTGAAGCAAAACACATGTTGATGTCCTCTTTAACACCTTCCACATTTGCATACGTTCTCCCATTAATATGGTGTTGCAGGGAACAGAAAAGAAGGGAATCTGATGGTACCATATCTGGAGAATATGATAGGTGAGGAGAACTTCCCAACCGAACTCCATAATTTTGTGTTGCATCAATCGTGCCACTTGTGGACATGCATTGTCCTGGAGAAGAACACCTTTCCAATTGATGAGTGAAGGGCATTTCTGATGAAGGACTTGATTTAAACATTCCAGTTGCTGACCATTAGATCTCTGCATTGACAGTTTGCTGTGGATTGAGGAGTTCGAAATGAATTACTCCTTTGATGTCCCACCAAATGCAAAGCATGACTTTCTGCAGATGGAGTCCAGGTTTTGGAGTAGGAAGTGTTTTTTTTTACTGAACCATTGTTTTTGGCATTTAATATTCGCATAGAGAATCCATTTTTCATCACTGGTGACAATTCTGTCCAAAAATGGTTCACAAGCTAGAAGAGACGAAGCAGTGTTCACACGTTGGAAACAATGAACATCGGAGCATATCTTACTGTTGGTGCTAACTAGGATGTTCAGTCTCATTGTAAATGTTAT